AGCAGAACAACAGATATTGAGAAACTCCTGCCCCAATAAACCCTTCCAGCTTTCAGCACCGGTGCCTTTGGGCCTTCCTAACCCAGAGACTGCACACAGATCTATGTCTTTAATAGCTGTGAATAGCTTGCCCTTTGTAAATCTGCCTAATGTTTCTTGAACCCATTCATACTTTCAGTATCCAAAACATCCTGTGGCAACAAATTTCACAATGTAATTAGGCGTTGGCTGGAAAACTACAAAGTAATTTTATTTATTTTAGATCTGCTTCCTGATGGCTTCGTTGCATGCCTGCCATTCTTGGAGCTACAAGAGAAATAATGAATAATTGTTCCCACGCCAGTCATGATTTACATACCTTTATATAAACTTCTCTGTCCTCCTCCCCTCATGCTCAGTACCTCTTCCCAAAGCTGAAAACTCGAGTTAATAACCCCCAACACGGGAACCACTCCAAATCTCTGCCTGTCTTTGGGCTTCTTTTTTCCCCCCCCATTCTGCCATAGCTTTTTTGGAGTTATTCCAGTAACACATCAAAGCTGTGCTAATCAATATTTTGATCATCCACTTAGCAGCATTAAGCCTCTTTTTTTTCTTTCTTTTTTTTTTTCCCTTTTCTCCAAGCCATGACACAATTATGGCACCTGATGGCTTTATTTTGACTTTGTCCGGGTCAAAATACTCAGCACCGTGAACAACACAGGTGCTTCTGTTTGTATCAAGATAATCTGATGTCAACAGAGCAACTTACTGTGGTCTTTTACTAACTGTATAATAAGATATCTCTATCATCTGACAATATATCTGTATTATAATACGTTACAGTCAATGGTAAAAGGCTTTTGCAGAGGAAGGCAGGTGATTCTATCGAGCTGACTGCTTGAATCAATCATTTCTTCAAAAAGCAGCAAGAAAACCAACAAGAGAGACTTTAAATAGCCCTGATGGAGTCCCCAATTAGCCCTCCTGAGCTGCCACCAATTAAGCAGGACGTTTTCCAGAGGAAATGCCTTCTGGACAGGGCTTGGTGCAGGTGGGCAGTGTTTGCTGTCAGCTCCCCATCCCCAACCTGTTAGGAGGGTTTTTTCACCCATCCCTTCTTCCATCCTCCTCCTCCTCCTCCTGCAGCAACAAACAATCTATCAGCTAAACAAGCATTGACATTATGGGTTTATTAAACTTTCCTGCTAAGCACAGAGTAGAGAGATTATGAAACTATTTCCTGTTTTCTCCTTTGGGCATTTTGTGCAAGGTTTCAGTTACCCTTTGCAGAGAGTTCCTCCTGCTTTTCCCCCCTGCGTGGGTTTTCCTATAGAAATGGGCTGACAGACAGGTACACGCCGGGATTTATCTTAAGCACTAAAATTATCTGAGGTAAGCCAGCAGAAGTAATGCATGAAAATAGTCTCAGCCTGCTTTTAAAGAAATTAAGATTTGAAATTAAAGAACGGGAAAATTTGAGTTTCCTTCACATAACTGAAAATACTTTTATTACAGTTATCACCACGACACCTAAATGTCAATTTATTTTTAGTTATATCCTTCGTGCAAGACTTAGAACACAGACCAATAATTACTTTGTTCACTGGTGGTTTCTTCTCAGCAATTTTTTTTTTTCTCCCCCACCTGAAGGAAAGAATTTTAGACTACTTGGACAGCAGCTGAACGTTCAAGCTTCAGGGAAAGGAAAGGTACTTTTGGTAACTTATGGGGATAAATAATTATTCTACTGCTTTAAACGTGAAGGGCAAACGGGGTTCAAGAAAGGATGCACCACTTCAACAGTTAAGTGCAAGCAGCAGCACTAGAAGTTAAAAAGGACTGGAGATCTTTGTGCATTTTTTTTGTAGCAGAGTACACAATAAATCAGCTATGAGACACTGATTTCTGGTTTCAGAAATAAATGCCTTTTAATTAACACCCTACGGGTTGGTTGAGAACATAAAGGAACAGACAACTTAAAACACCCAGAAAGAAATTGGTCATCAGTTAATTCCAAAGGACCCCGATTATCAAATGTATGACATTTTCCCCTGATAAGCCTAAAAAATATTTCCTGGGGAATGTGTTAACAATGGACATTTCCAGTGTTAAGCACCAGTTGCTACATCTAGTGGCTGGTGGTGTCTTAGGTCACGCCTTGCAAATTCCAGGGTTATTAATGCATTTGTGATTTATTAGAAACAGTGTCTGGAACACTTACTCATTCTTGGTTGCATCTGAATGAAAAAAGGAAAAAAAAAAAAAAAAAAAAAAAAAGGATTACAGACCCATGTCAGTGAACCTCAGTTTGGCAAATGAAAAAAAAAATGTTATTAGTAATTTGGCAAAGTTAAAGACACGTTAAGTGAAGAATAAAGTCCTGTGTAGAAACGATTAGGAAGCAGTAACTTTGGCTGTATCCTGCATCTCAAATCTGGGGAGTTATTTAGGGCAAACAAGCTGGAAAGGAAGAGAATTAAAAGAGAAAGGGACCAAAAAAAAAAAACACCTACTTAGACATGAAAAGTACCCTTGACCTAATGACCACTATCATGCAAAACTGAGCCATAAAACTACTGATCACCTTAAAAACACCCAACACATCCCTGAGCCATCAAGGGCCACCTTATTCCCGTTCCCCCCGGTGGTTGTTGGGCTGTTACACAACCCCAGGTCCCTTCAGGGCACCAAACACCTGCTGGAGCTGGAGATTTACTCCTGTGCTCAGCAGAACATTAAATACCTCAGTCAATTTATTTGGCAAGCTTTAGAGCAGTAATCAAATAAATCAGAAGTATTAATTACAGGGAAAAAAAAAATATGTATAGTTCATCCTTTGCCTCCCTCTGTGCTCTGAGGGAAAGTTGAAATCCCCACCTGTGCAATTCTTGGGTACAGTGTCACAAAAATGACAGAAAAGCTTCTCCCAAACAAAAGAAAGGTAAAACAGAGTTATAGAATAAAGAGGAATTGCTTTTTTTTTTTTTCTATCTAGATGCAGCAGGCTTGACTATGTGTCAAATTTAAGCATTTTCCTAAATCAGTCCTTCGACTACGAGCAAAGTGAGTTCCTGAGCTTTCCCCCCCACTTAAATAATTAATAATTATTTTACTCAAGTACTGAAATGAGCCTTTAAGTTATTATAATAGATTCCTTTGTTGTACTGCTGGTAAAGCCAAAGAAAAAAATCTGCATGTTTTAACAGCAAGGAATTATTACAATTAATCCAAACTTCCACTCAGTACTCCCCACTCCTTTCCTTTTTGCAGCTGCAATGTTTTTCTGCTTATTCTCTCTCAGAGTTTGCTGCTCCAGCCCAGAGACAGACACAACTTCCATTTGGGATTTACCACCTGTACCAAGAGCTCTGGTCACCGTTTAAACTGCTCTGCAGCTGCAACCCCACCTGTGCCCGCCCCCTTTTCCCTCCCCAAGACATAAAACACTAACTCACCTCATAGGTCTAAATTTGAGCATCATTAAGGCATTTTGGACCTGACAACGCCGAGTTTTGGGGATTTTCAGCCAGTGCTGTAAAGGTGGAAAAGGGGGGAATCCCCACACCCCTTTTTCTCCACCGAAAATACAGAGCGACACCAAAAAAAAGCAAAAATCACGGCCTGACCTTTCTGTTACCCAAGAGAAAAACTTGGGAATAACCGAAATTAATACACTGGAGGCTGCAAGAAGATCC